TTGTATTTATTCAATACAGACTTTGCGTGTGACCGCGTGGAGTTGAAAAAAAAACCTTTGTAATGTTAAGAATGAAATTAGTACCGTGATGCAGAATTGGCGCAACACTAGATTGTCGGCACAAACGTCACATCCCTAGCTGACAGCTGTCAATGTCATTAGAAGGATGGAGATTCGCGTACATTCCTGACGAGATCTCTAGTGGTGTGTTTAAATTAATATCGATAGTTAAAATTAATATATTAAATGTTTAAGTAGTCTACGTGTTCTTTTAGACTATGATGTACAACTGTGGTCAAATACATCCAGATTCATTGAGCCTTCCACATACATCCATCTAAAGGTATTAACTTTTAATTCGATAGTATCTAGTGCGACGAATACCTAATTAAAAAAATAACTGAACTAGTTTAGAGAAAAATACGTGAGATTTTGATTTTAGTGTATTGGTAACATATACATTTTTTTTTGCAATAGAAATGTCCGTCGAATTAAGGGTTATGAGCGGGCGTATACTTTTAACTAAATTATCGCACAACTTTTGTGCGATTGTCAATTGTTTCACAGCCCATTCAAATGTTTATTTGTACAACTTAAAATAGAGTAGTGTGCGCAACTCCATATAAGTTCATAGGAATCAAAGCGACTAAACAGTTGTGCGCCAGTTTAGTCAAAGGTGTGTGCGCACTAATAATGTTAGTAAGAAGTAAAGTATTTTACAAAGTTTGTCAATAAACATCAAACTACGATTTGGGTCAATTCAAACGATGCAATATGTCTGTTTTCCTAAAGTTTAATTTGTCATAATATAAAGTTTTCTAACCAATACCGACGCTCGGAAACTTCGAGTCCATCTGTGATAAGTTTGCGATTAGTTTGTCTGTCAGTTCTCGAATATACTAAAATATTAATATGCATTTGACGAATTCCAATTCAATAGAGATATAGAAATCTTTATCGGGATTATTAATAACTAGTTTTCGTACGCGACTCCGTCCCCCACAAAAGTAGGTAGCCTATGTGTTTTCCAGGCTATCCTCTACATATGTACCTCATCGAAATCCGTTCAACCTACTCTAAAAACCTCTACCAAACTTCCATTCACCTATTCATCTAAACTTTCGCATTTATAATATTAATATGATATTGTTACCAAAGAATTGCGAAATAAAAAAATATTCAAAATATTAGAGTAAGATTATCATTAATAATTGAATCTCAATGTTCACCTATTTATTTCCAATCTGATATCAGAATACTCAACACAGTCATTGCAGTCGGTCAGAAACTTACGTCACACCTTCCACACGCTTCGCCAATTGTTATCGAACTAGATTCAATGATTAAAACCATAGTTACACGGATGTAAAGTGAATCTAAGCGACAGAGTACAATTGCCTTAAAATTCGTAACAATGAAGACATGTTATATGATATTTGGACGTAAATTGCGAGTTAAAGATACGCCACGTTAAGAATATTTCGTTACACGAAAAAATAAACCATTAGTAAATTAAGAAACACATTTTTTTCACAATCTTATAATCTGTTCATTGATGTAAAAGTCTACATCGTATTTAAAAACAGCAGAAACGATTTTTTTTTAATTTTGACCAAAACTTTGAAGCCATATCCAGCAGCAATTAACAGAAGTTATCTTTGTCAACAGAGCACGTTTCGTCTACTAACAGATTCGACAAATTTCTCGAGCCGGATTTGTGAATGAGGACCCGATTTGGGAACAGTCTAGACACAATTAAGACTTGAGAAGCAAAGGTATAAATAACCCTCTATTTTCGAAAGGTATTATCACACCGACATATTTACAGCTACACTAAGTCACCAAAAAAAATTAAAACACGCTCACATTTCGCTTAATTACTTGCTCACATATTTCAATATTAAATTGTGTAACTATTACGGTTAAAAGTTTATCTAAAAATTCTATCGAACTAACTACATTTGAAATAGCAATAAAATTTTCAATAACCAATGCACAAATGTTGTTTAAGAAATTCAATGTTCAGAAGTAAACTTCGCAGCCCCCACGTTGGGCGCCAAAGTGTCCCAGCGGCACAAATTGACTACGCCGCTTCGCTCGGGCTCCCTGAATTGTATAGAGGAGCGACATTCCGTGACCGAACTTTGCGATGAACGGACGTGTCCCGTGCTAACGAAATATACTAAAAATGAACACTAAGACATGCACGCCGTGAATGTAGAAAACATTTACTGACTTATTTTTGTTTAAATATACATTTGTTTAATTGCGTCCAATAAATGACAAGATATTTTACCAAATACAGTTGTTGCATGTTAATTAAAAATTTTATTTACGTTTTCTTTTTTTTTTAATGACAATTATCATAGAAAAATGCTCCTATTGCAATGTAAACTATTTATTATAATTTAAATCAGCTATTCAATAACTGTATGAACTATACCATAAGACTATAATGTTGTAAAAAGACATTGTCAAATATTGTACGGACGTTGCTTTTTTATTAGGTTTTAATTTATTTTTATTAGCTGTTGCTCGCAACTCCGTCCACTTCGAATTAAAAAAAAACTAAACTAGTAGCTTATATGTTCTTCCAAACTATGTCCTAAGTTTCGTTGAGGCATTCTTGAGGTATACAGTAACAAACATCCATCCATCCATTTAATCTAAAATAATATTATAAGGAGGAAACATTTATATTTTTGTAGTTATAAAAATAACTCAAAAACTACAGAGCCGATTTAAAAAATTAGTTCACCGCTAGGAAGGTTATTTTCGAGTCATACAGGCTATATTTTTTTTTATTTTACACGGACAAAGTCGAGAACAACTGCTTGCTAATATTTATGATGTTAGGAAAATCATGTTAAAACATTTTAGAGTTTGCTTCTTGTAATTGAATACACATTCAACCTGTGCAAGACGAACTTGTGTAACTTAATTTTTTCAATTAATTAATCTGCATATAATTATTTATTACTAGCTTTCGCCCGCGACTCCGTCCGCGTGAAATAAAAAAAAAAGACAAAAGTGAGTAGCCTGTGTGTTCTTCCTCTCCTCTAAGTCCATGTCAAAAATCGTTCAGCCGTTTAGGCTACAAACTCTAACAAACATCCATCCGTCTAAACTTTCACATTTATAATATTAGTAGATTAGTTTAAGAAAACAAAAAGATCGCGTCTTATTCTTAAGATTCAAAGTGCGCGCATGCGTTAGCTGAAGCCACGCCTTCTATCGAAAGAGATAACGCTTGGTCTCTACTTTCATTCAATTCCTATCTGATTTCAAGTTTAATTGATTTAAGATAAAGTTTTTTTTTGTTATCAGAATGATAACCATTTGATAAACAAACACGATAAATAAACTACGATTATTACATAGCTTAAAAGGCATAAAACTTTTTTCTTTGTCACTGTTTTTAATCTATGACCAATTTTAAACCAAAGATTACTGCTTATTTTTTTTTCTGTAGTAGTCAAAGATGAAAGATTCGTACCAATATTAAAACAACATTTAACAACTAAATACATTATTTTTAAAATGTTTATCGGAGTCTAAAAATTTTCATAGATCTGGAATAGATTGCGTTCCAATTAAAAATGTCATAAAGCAACTATCCACTTATGTTCAAGTTAAAGTAAAGGACTACAAAAGGTAGCACAAAAACTAGTTAAACCACCCTGTACCAGCAATAGCAGCAGGTGCTACTACAGCCCCTACGAAAATACACAAAAAACTGTCCCTGGGCTGTGTTGATTATTCTAAGAACTTACTTCCTATAATGACTAGCACAGTCTTCGCAGTCTCTAAATACTCCTTCTTGTTATTTATTTTATATTTTTAATTTAATTTAGTCTATCGATGTATAGATCCAATCCGAAAAAGAAATTGTCCCAACGAGCTATCCATCGGGTGTTTTAATTCTGTTTTTATTAAATCTTATGTTAAAGGTCATTTCAAGAAAGATTTATTGACAATAAGCATGAACATTTGATGTGAATTTTAAGGTTACAATATAATAATAGAAACATTACTATCTAACAGATCTATTGAACGGCGTAATCTTGATTTTCCACTCCCGATACGCATAAAAACGAATTATTTGATAATGTAACAGCTTTGTACTTTATTTTTGACCGACTTCCCAAAAGAAGGAGGTACTCAATTCGTCTGTATGTTTTTTTATGCATGTTACGGCATAACTCCGCCGCTAGTGGACCGATTTTGATAATTCTTTTTTTATGTTATTAAAATATGTACAAATATACATAAAACACATGTAAGAATATCAAAGGATTTAAATATATCTCCATTAGTAAATTTATAGGTAAAAGTTTGTTCGAAATCACACTAATATTATAAATGCGAAAGTTTAGATGGGTGGGTAGATGTTTGTTGGAGTTTGTAGCCTAAACGGCTGAACGGATCTTCATTAAATTTGGCATAGACGTAGAGGATAGTCTGGAAGAACACATAGGCTACTCACTTTTGTTCTTTTTTTTTTTCAAATTCCACGCGTACGGAGTTGCGGGCGTAAGCTAATATATTATAATACTTGATATTCCTGAATAACTTTCTCTTTCATAGTAACATCTTTCATCAAACTTTAATCAAACTCCTCGGCTAGTGAAGGTGTCTTTTTAGCTTTTTTTCTGGCAACTTCAATTCATTAAACATTGAAACTACGAAAAGTTCCTGTTTTAATTAAAGATATTCACTGAAAACCCGCCCCTGAAGCCTTAACTCACTGAGACGCGGTTGGCTTATTTTTTTTTCAGTACACTCATTCCCGCCTCTGTGACCCTCCCAAACAAACAGCTAAGTACTTTAAAAACAATACCATGCTGGACTTATTATGATCTTTATTTGTATAAGGTATAAGGTCCAGATTCGCGTGAGTAGTTTAATTTCTTAATTCTTTATTGAATTGTGATACAGCATTCAGTTCATTTCATGAAAGAGGAGACAAGCAGTCAAGATACGTTCAGTTGCCCGCGGATTTTCGCGCGGAACGGACGTGCTTGGGAATGATTTGCTCTCCCGATGAATTAACGCGAAAAACTTTACGTATTATTTACAATTGACTTTAATTTAATTTTAATTCATTGTAAATTTGTTCAGTTTAATTTCGTAACTCAAGAAGTTATAATAGATTTTTGAAGGTACGTAATTATAACATTTTAAAATGAATATTAAATTTACTTAATTAATTACTTTCTATGACATATTTAAATTATTTTATTTATGTTCATAGCTTGTACAACTAATAAGTTACAAATTGTTATTATTAATAAAAATTAAAAAAATTTAAAATTCGAAACTCTGTCGACGTTTGGTAAAAAAATTTTTAAACAAAATTAAAACGAAGACTGTTATAAATGTGATAAAAATACACATAGTATGTACGCTGACATAAATAGAGGGCTATTACAATGAATCGCTATCAAATGTTATTAGTCTTATAATAGTCTACAATCACGTCTGATGGAAGACTTGTTCCATTAAAATAATTCTAGTATTACAAAACAACATAGTATGTTGGTTAGATTACTATAAATGTAAAGTGGATATTATTCAAAAGAAAGGACATTATTTCTTAGTTTTTTTTTACAAATAGTTACTATGTTTCTCTTAATTTTAAAAACACCATAGAGTATTTTATCAGATATCACAGTAATATTATAAATGTGAAGGTTTAGATGGATGGATGTTTGTTAGAGTTTGTAGCCTAAACGGCTGAACGGATTTTGATGAAATTTGGTGTAGATGTAGAGGATAGTCTGGAAAACCACTTAGGCTACCTAATTTCGTTTTTTTTTTTAATTCCACGCGGACGGAGTCGCGGGTGAAAACTAGTCAATAAGTAGAATTCTTTTGTTTTTTAGGGCTTACAAATAAACACGATACGTCATTTCTATTTTTGTAAGTTTTTCGTCTTGTAAGTTTCATTATTGTAAAATAAAAAAAATACTATTAATAATACGAGAAACTTATTAACATCTAAATATTTTTAATTGTTTAATTACATGTATTATTGAATATTTTCGACCCACAAGAGACCTCTGTAGTGATAATATTTATCATATTAAAGTTATCTAAGGGCATCCATAATGCAAACGTTTTCCTCAATAACAAGCTGCGTTAGTAAAAATATTATTGCAATAAACATACAATTAAAACAAGTTTACTTTAAATATCTAATACATTTATTGGATTAATAATCGTTTTATTATCAGTTTATTACATACTAGCTTTTGCACGCGACTTCGAGTTTGTGAAATTAAAAGTTCTTTATGTGGACTTTCATACTAGATCCGTTAAGGAATTTTGAGAATTGAAAATAAAAATAATATCTGAGTTTAGTAACTTTAGTAAGCTTTAATTATGTGCGAATAAATTTCTTTAATCAATTTCTCTAACAGGGTCACTCTAGCCTAAGGACAGTCAAACAATAATTGAGGAAGAATTCAGTTCCTTAACATTTTCACTGCGTAACAGGTCGATATCGGCCTGACGCGGTATTTAAGCTTATACAGACAAAGAAAACTACGTCCCTCTCGTTAATGCGAAACGATTATCTCAGTTATACATGTTACATTACATAAAATGTATACATTACGTTTCCACAATTATTATAGCAATTTAATCTATTCTAGTGCTGGTGGGTCTAGAAAGACCTGTCACGCACTGGCAGAAATACCATAGGGGGCCCATTTGGGCCCGCCGCTGCACCAGATTTTACCTGATGCAGTAAACGTTTTAATGAGGTGTTAAAATTTCAATACTTAAATTTCACAATATGTACAATGACATTTACTAGGCCAGTGTGACACTAAGGCCTAAGTTTCCCGAACTTAGTATAAGCCCAGGACCCTCAGTGAGTATAGTGGTCTGATGATCGATTGTTTCATTAAGTACTCGTATCAACTTCGATATGTCTGTATTACAACGTGGAATTACCCTACACCAATCAATATTCCTTGATTACTTAAAACTTTTCGAGCATTATTCCGACATACACCGATGTCACCTATTCATCGAACCACGAACCACGAAATGCTATTTTGTTAAATTAATTTATTATCACTGTACTACGCTTCCATCATTTGAATTAATGGATTACGTTGAATAGTATTTTAGGGAAAAAAATAGAAAGTGATTTGACATGCAACGGCTTCCATATGAAAATCATGGTAGAGCCCATAGCATCTTTTGCATGAATGTCCACTTCCCTTTCCCACCTTTTTCTTCCAAGGAAACTGTCAGAAGTGGATTTTTCGGAGGAGGAGATAACGACATAGAAAGGCAAAATATTCCTCCGTCGATTAAAGGCAATACATGCAATTGCAGATGTCTACGGGATGTCGCTTTGCCATTTCAATGCATCAGGCGGCTTGTTGCCCGTTTGCCACTTTCATAATTTAAGAAAAAATCAACAAAAATCTGAAGTACATGGTGCTACGTCACTAATGTGTCACGTACTTCTAAGTTGTTTTACGATGAAGAAGTTAAAAGCAATGTTTTAATGTTTTATGACTTTTTCTCAACTTAGATATTTCGTTAACGTAAAAAACTTGGTAACCACGACCCTGTGATGTAAATTATCGGATCATCCGCATGATACGGTTAATACCGGATTGAAAACTTCGAGAAAAGTCGTCTAATTTTTGAATTTCAAACACGTTAAAGAGACTAGGTCGGATTAACATATTTTAGAAGCGATTCGCACCTGCTTCGTTGCAAAGTTGTCCCGTCGCTGCGGCGGCGTGGCGCTTCAAGTGTTAATACCGGAAGTTTTACTTCTGTTCACAGATTGAGTTCCGAATAATATTTAATTAAGATCTCTCAACGACCTGATTGCGTTATTAATTAAAGTTTAATAATATTTAAGCAAACAGAATATGTTTTATATTTTATTGAGATGGGACTATATGTGTACAACATTAGTTTTAAATATAGCATAGCATTTAAATTTAAAAAAAAACTTTATTAATTTTCCCCTTTGGACAGGAGACTAGTGTCTATATTAAGGCCGTACCCTTTTTTATTAATTTTACTAATTAAACAGAGATTAAAACATTTTAAGCAAATGTAAAAAAAGTAATTGAAGTTAGTTAGTCGTATTATAATTTTAAGTTATACTGACGTTGCGTATTGTAAGAAAAAGTATTTAAACTTAGGAGATATTACAAAATTTACGTACCCTCATTCCAGCCGCGGGTTGTTCCATAAAACGGCCGACCTGCAAAAAGTTGACGTGTGAAAGTTTGGCATATTCCGCGCCAGTCTGAGGTGAACAGATGAGCCGTTATATTAAACAGCGGGGTGCCCGCACTTCATTTCATAGCGAACTTATAAACGCCTTTTTTTAATAGATGTACAAAATAATGGATGCGGCATTATATTTGCTGCTCTCACAATTTTAAGGAGGTAAACATTTGTAACAATTCGAAATGTTGTTCTAAAATTTCATATCCTTAAAACTTTTGTTAAATGTTTTAATAACGAAAAGGAATTATTTTTAATTTAAAATTATTGTATAGATAATATATTTATTCAACGTAATTAACTGAGTTTGTATGATAACGATACGCTTTCTTTGTAAGCTTCTTCTTACTTTGCAAAACCGCTGGTTATATTTTTAACTAGACTGTAAATGCTTCTTAAAATATTTATTTAATTACTTCAACATGTGCACATTTTTTTTTATTTTTCCATTTAACGTAATATAAATAAAGTACGCATCCATTTTTTCTAAGATCCTTGTTAAGGAACGAGTAACTTTCCGACGCAGTCACGGCAAAGAGGCTCTTTGTAAAAGAGTGTTCTTTTTGAAAGAAAGTTATGGCTTATGGATTAAATTTTCTTCTTCTTGCTTTAATACTCCGACGTCTTACAAACTGGAAGGCATGAAATAAAGTGCGCTTTTACACGTGTTTCAACATGATTTATCTATAGTTATTTTCCGTGCCATCAACTTTTACTACATATAATTTAATTTTAGGTTTTTACTTTTGTTAAGCTGTACATCATACAATTCTTATTAACTACTCAGCCTAATGTTATTAAGAGAAAACATTTAATTATTTGAATAGTCTCCAAAACTAATGCACCGATATCAAAAATTATTTCTCCATTAGAAAGCACCATTTTCTTTAGTAACATTATAACTTCGGGCGGACTGTCACGGGTAAAAACTAGTTATAAACACCGATAAACACACAAACAAGTAGCTCCGGTCTGCACGTTAATGTTATAACCGCGTACTAATCAAGGAAATGAGGTGAACCAACAAAGGGTATCCGTTTACGTGGCCTTTGTGCTTCGCCATCCACGCTTACATTTGAAAGTAATTAACAAAGTATTTTAATGTTATTATACACGAAATAGTTGAATGGGAACGTAATCTATACTTCTATACTATTATAATAAAGCGTAAACACACACTTCTTTGTTGCCTAAGATGTCAGCAATAACAGCATATTTTCGAATAACTCTTGTTTTAATAAAAAGCCCTTCACTTACGTCACGCTTTAGGCTATATGTTTTTACGACATTAAACTTAGGGGGTAAATATTTTGGATAAAAACCCTAACGTGGGAAAGAGACCATAAGTTGCTGCCAACATCAAGGAAGCAAAGTTGCCATGGTTTATCATCATGTCATTTTGACATTTGGTTATTTGACGCATGTGAACAATAAAATAAAATTTTCATAATTTTATGCGGATGAACTCGCACGGGAACAGCTAGTTTGAGATATGGAGAAACAATACAGGTAATAATTATAGTCAAAACATTTTTATAGCGCCAGAAGCCGAATAGTTTAATCTGTCGATTCCTGATTATAGTGAACCATAGATAGTAAATAGAAACATACAAGAAGTAATAAAAAAATAATAAAAACCTACAAAACCTTTTCATAGTTCAGTTAAAAAAATATATCGTTTACCGTAGAACAGTCATAGACATTGAGTGAACTCCACAAAACTGTTCTAAAAATTTTGTAAGGTTTTAATTAAAGTCAGGTAAAAATGAGGATTTTTAATTGATAAAATTACGAGTTTCATGTCTTTATAACTTAAATAAGCGTTGTTACAATAAATTAAGATTTTTTTGTTGAATAATTTTACTTCTTTCTTAATATTATAAATGCAAAGTTT